TCTGATAAAAAGGAGACATTTGCCCTAAAGATATATTGGATAGTGACTGCAGGATCAGGAAGCGAGGTACAGGTGCACATTGTGGTTGAGACTGCTGTTCGGAGTCTTCAAGGTGTGGTCATTTACCAATTAGTAGAGTTTTTTAAATTTTTTCTTTGGATTTGGGGGATCCATAATAAAAGAGAAAGATTCAGTGCCCACTGATCCCACCCTCCATGGAATCCTACGAGGGGATGCACTACAATATGAAACAATGACACTGCAGCAACACCAGGGTTTCGTGAGCACTATACCCAAAACACCAGCATCAGACATGATGTCCACAACACCTGTTGAGAACGCCTAACACTGGTACACAGTTGACCCAATGGGACCAGCCGATTGACCCTGGGGGCCACCCCAAGGCCACCCGTCTACAGGAATTCAAGGCCAAAGTGGTGTGTAGCAGTGCCCCAGACTCCACTCAACCACCAGGATCCTCTCCTCCCCTTCATGGGTCGCTACGCCAGAGGAAGTAACTGAAAATACAGAACCTTCCCTGGTAGGTCCCCTCACCACGTACAGGAATCCACGTCGAGGGGTTTAAGATTGTAAAGGAAATTGATAGTGTTGATGCATCATATTTTTTCTTACTTAAAAGTGAGAATAGTAGAATTAGGGGACACACTTATAAATTTTGGCAGGGTAGGCGTCATCTTCAATTTTATTTTTCTAACACAGTGGTTGGCCTTTTGAATGGGTTGCCTTTGGATGTTGTGGAGGCAGTAAATTTAAGTGTGTTTAAGATAAAGCTTGATAAAACCCAGGGCACATCTTATGTTCTACATTATAGCATGTGGCCTGGTGATCTTTTTAATATATGCAGCATTTTTGTTGTAGTTGTTAAGGCTAGTTTAGATAAATACCACACACATATATATATATATAAACACATACACAGATGTACTTTAGAAAAAAAAAACATAATTGCTGAACAGAAATACAACACACGAAACTTTTCCTATCTTTTTTTAACGATATGGTTTAACATAGATTGCATAAATGTACAGAAGAAAGTTTGCAGTCATTTGGGAAAGAATATTCCTAACTTTTGCAATCTTTTGTATTGCTTCTCAAATAACATTAAACTTATCTATGGCAGCGGCAAGAAGAACATTCAAATGTATGACTAGGGTCTCTAATTTATCAAATGTTCCGTTAATGAAAATAACTTCACGTAAATTTTGCTTTACTTCCTATAACGTTGGTATTAGAATTTTTTTGAAAACACATTTTGCCATTTTTTCAATCATTACAAAAAAGAGAGAGAAAAACTTGTATTACTCATTAGTTGAAATTACGAAAACAAACAGCTATGACTATTTAACATACGTACAAAAAATTATAATTTAAAATTACAATATTCTTTACCTTTATACATAATTTTCGGTAAATTTTAACTAAAACATGCTATAGTTATAAATAATAGCCTTAACATGAGCTCAAACCATTCATTATAAAATACCATTTTAATGAAAAATTGGGGTGAAACTCATGCTTCGCGTGCGAAGCATTGTATTGGTTGTGGTATTTTGTATTTGAATGCACAAATTTTATAAAATGTAAAGGTCGTGCTGTATATTTAAAGTAGTTAAAAAGCTAAGTGACCTGCCATGACAACTTACGTATGAGATTAGCTATGTAGAGTTCTGAACGAATCTGGTGGCCATATGAGGCGTCAGTGACTGCGAAGTTAAACCTATTCCACAATACATACGACCTA